CGCTTTGTTCAACCGAAGTCGCGTAAGTATCGAGAGTGGCAAGAAGAGATTTACCAGAACACCCCTTCGCGGGAGTATCGGCGACGGGAGGAGCTGGAAGCACTTGAAGCCGAACGGAATGCCCCACCCGCAGTCCTGCGACCTCAATATGTTTGGCCGACGAAGATTTTGCCACGTCCACCTGAAGAAGTCCGGAAGGCTGCTGAGCTACAGAAAGCTCGGAACTCGAGTGGCCGAGCCATGAGCTCTTCGGGTCAGACTGAGGAAGAGGCCCGCAGTCACTCGAGCGCTGTTGCTGATGTAAAGATTCTGGATCTGGGCATTCCAACTGCCGCGGAAGTCACTCCCATGGACGAAGCCGAAGCCTCACAGGCAGATGAGTTAGATCCTGCGAAGGAGCTCGCCATTGATCGGGATTCTGGTGATGTCGACCGCGGACTGACTGGTGGAGGTACCCGTAGTGCCGAAGCTCGACATGAATTGAAGGACGTGTTTCGCGCAGAGCCAGTCAAGATCTGTGAGGATGCCCTGGAGCAGCTGGAGGTGGCGTACGCGATTTGTCTTCGGGTGGTCACAGCTGACTTGGATCCTGATGAAGAAGTCTTCTTCCATGAAGGAACCGAGCTGTTGACGCAGTTACGAGACCAGTTGGCTGTACTCCCAGACTTGAAGGATCTCAGCCCGAAGGTGAACATGGATGAAGCTGATGTGGGTGTCGAAGGCAAGACCACTCCTGAGATGAACAAGGAGATGATAGGTATCTTGGAATATCATCACTCGGTCTTCCTAGGAGATGGCACTGCTGTACCCGCACCTGCCAGAGGAGTTGTCTGCGACCTGGATGTTGGGGACGCAAAACCCATTGCCCAGCGCGCTCGTCCGATTGCTCCACGCTTCCTCCACCAAGTCTACGAGCTGATCAAAAAATTGTTGGAGACCGGACTCATCGAGACTTCGCATTCGAAGTGGGCCTCACCTATCGTAATCATTTTGAAGAAGAACGGCAGGGATATCAGACTTTGTATCGACTACCGGATGGTGAACCAGCTCATCAAGCTGTCTTGCTACCCGCTACCGTTGATAGATGACTTGCTGATTGGATTTGAAGCTGCGATGTGGTTGGATATGGCGAGTGGCTTCTGGGCGGTGCCCATGACCCAGAGGGCAAAGCTCATTTCTGCTTTTGTCTGTCCTCTTGGACACTACCAATGGTTGCGCATGGCCTTCGGGTTGAAAAATGCACCCTGATATACCAGCAGATGCTGAACAACTGTCTTTGGGGTTTTGTGCGACTGTCGTCTGAGGGAGAAGCCAAGGTCGATCCCGATGTGCTTGAGTTTCTGGGAATTAAGGTAGACGAGCGAGCGGTCCCCGATTCTGGAGTGGAGATCCCAGCTCTGACAGATGCAATGACTGTTTTCCACCGGAACATTCCAGCCCCAGTTTCAATGGGCCCAGTCCTGGGTAGAAGCTCATACATTGACGACATCGCCCATGGGGCGCCTACCTGGGACCAGCTCTGCTCGGACCTGAACGCGTTGCTGTTACGACTACGCTACTGGGGAATCTCCGTGAGCCTGCCCAAGAGCGAGTTCGGGAAGCTGTCTATTCCGTACCTGTCGCATGAAATCAGCGCCGAAGGCTTGCGAGCGAAACCCAAGATCGCGAAGGTTGTGAATGATTTGCCATTTCCGTCGACACTCAAAGGCGTGCAGTCATTTCTGGGAAGCATCAACTACTACAACAAGTTTATCGAGGATCTTCCTGTTATAGCATCGGTGCTTTACGAGCTGACCGAGGAGCAAGTCCGGGAAGGATGCGACTTGGGGCGCGCCAAAGAGGCTTTCGAGATTCTGAAGAAGAAGATCGTCTCGACGCCGCTGTTACGACACCCGGAGCGAGAGAAGGACTTTGTTGTGATCCTGCATGCGAATCCTTGGGCTGCAAGTGCTGTCTTGGGCCAAGAATATGACGGTGTGATTTTTCCTGTTCGGTACACTGGCAAAACCCTCAATGAGTCTGAGATTAAGTATCATCCGGCTGGTGGCGTTGTTGCGCGTCCTGCGAGTGTTTCATTGTATGCTTGCTGGGAGTCACATCAAGGTCTACACTCGTTACTCAGTCCTGCGGTGGATTTTCACTTCGTCATCATTGGAGGGACGTTGTCAACGCTGGGCCACCCTGCTCTCGCCTTGGGATCTAGAAATTCACCGGATTGAGAGGGACGAGGATGGCCTGGCAGCCATCATGGGCGCTGGGATTACGCCTCGTGAACATCTCGATAAAGTGGCAGAATCCCTGATTCCGAGGAAAGGACGAGTGACACCTGCCCCACCGATTAGTCTGGAGATGTTGGAAGTGGATTTCTCAGGTTTCCTGCTCAGTTTTGATGGCGCTGCGAAGACGTCTACCAGGCAAGGTAGCTGTGGTTGTATCTTGTGGAAGCTCCCAGAGTGGACTGTGGTCAGCGTGCGAGGTTACGCCCTGGAAGATGTGACGGTCAATGATGCAGAGTATCATGGCTTGATCAAAGGAGCGACACTGGCTATGGAGCATGGTGTTTACGACTTGGTTGTCGTCGGTGACTCCCGAATCGCTATTCAACAGGCCCAAGGGTTGATCAACTGTCATCAACCGAACCTTCAGCGCCTGTTAAGTGAGTTCGATTCGGTTCGTCAGAAGTTCCAGTCTGTGAAGTTGATTCATGTGAAGCGGGAATTCAACCAGGCTGCGGACTATTTCACGAGTCGGACTCTAGCCGCTGGAGAATCACTGGTTATCGATGATCCCCTTGAGCTGTCGCATTTGCGTTTGGTGAATCGCATCCCTGAGAAGCTGGTGAAACAGTCTGAATCTGGAGTTGGTCGAAGGCACTGCTGAGCGTCGAGTACTGAGAGCAGTCGTAGATGAGTTCCCAGATTATGACAACGCACCACTTTCTCTTGCCGCGCGCGTGCTAGCCGCTCTGACCCGGAGCCAAGCCCAAGCGGAAGTTCGTGATGCAGAGGAGACGGAGTCTGATACCCCAGGCATGACACCTTTGGAGTTCCAAGCAGAGCGCTGGCGCCGCATTAAGGCTCACCAAGATGGCGACCCATGGATGCGACAGTTGAAAGCTTTCCTGCGAGGTGATCTCTCTGAACTCTCTGAACTGGAAGCACAGAGGATGGTGAAGATTGCTGACAATTATGTCTTGGATTCCCGAGACGTTCTTTACTGTCTGAGCCGATCGACTGCTTCTAGGCCAAGAGATGCACGAGATGAACCTCGATTAGTGGTTCCTCACGATCTGCGCCAGGACTTGCTGCATCACTGTCACGAAGAGCTTCAAGACGGTCACCAAGGAATTACGCGGACGCACGAACGCCTGCGTCGAGAGTTCTTTTGGTCAGGCCTCTACGCTGATGTTGAACGTTTTGTCAAGGAGTGTGTGGACTGCGCCTCTGGAAAGGGGAAGCCACCTAATCCCGGGCCATCGCCTGGGAATATTGAGCCCAACGCTCCGTTCGATGTGCTGTCGATGGACTTTGTCACGCACCTCCCGAAATCCGAACGAGGGAATACATTTCTCTTGCTTTTTCAAGATATGTTCTCGGGTTTCGTGATGTGTAAGCCCATGAGTTCGACGACAGCACAAGACGTAGCTGAATCTTATGAAGAGGCTGTCTTCCGGCGCTTCGGTGCGAGCTCCATGCTCAGGCACGACCAGGACCCCAGATTTATGAGCGAAGTTTTCGGTCGATTCAGGAAAATGCTGGGCACCAAACAGCGAGCGATGTTGGCGTATCGCCCTCAAGCCAATGGGCAACAAGAAAGATCGGTGCAGACTATGGTGAGGAGCATCCGGGCCTATGTAGCGGAGGCAGATCAGAGCGACTAGGAAGATCATGCGGAGAAGTTGGTGTTCGCCTTAAACACCTCCTTCGATTCGACCCGGCTCGAAACGCCCTTTTATCTGGTCCATGGTTGGGATGCGAAGAGCACTGTGTCGGCTATGTTAGGTCCACCACCCACGGGGTTGGAACAGAAGTCGGCTTACGAGTGGAGACGCAAGCTGCAACGCGATTATAGTTTCGCCCATGCTTGGGCTCGAGACTTGCAGAAGCAAGCTAAACGGCTGCGCTCAGAAGCCCAGACTCAGAAATGGCAGGAACTCTCGGAAAGACTCAAAGCCGGCTTCCAACTTGGAGACTCTGTCTGGCTGTATCTGGCTCGCGTGCAACCCGGGTTGACCAAGAAGTTTGCCCACATGTGGCATGGTCCCTTTCGAATTGAAGAAGTCCGGGATGATTTTCGCGTACGGCTAAAGATCGAAGGCACCGGCTATCGAATTGGTCCCTGGGTACATATCAGCAGATTGAAGCCAAGAGCACTCTTCCCAGAACGCCCAACAGTGGAGATCGAAGTTGCAGAAGAAGATGACTTCGATGCAGCATTATTACCGGAAGACAGCTGGGACCCTGAAGAGCAATCTGGTGTGTACGAGGTAGAAGCTATCAAGGACATCCGCTGGACAAAGAGGACCAGGACATCTCAAAGAGTCCGCGAGTACCTCGTGAAATGGAAGGGGTACTCGGACCTGGAATGGCTCTCAACAACGCAGCTAATTTGTGGTAACCTGCTTTACGAATTTAACAAAGGCGCTAGAGCGCGAGCTCGATTTCGGGCAATGCAAGCAGGTGATGACTCAGACGCTGTGACAGATTCCCAATAATTCTGGGATTCTGGCACTCGATGTGTTTATTGCGTATGTATAAGTCTATCGCTATGATGACCCGACCCACCAATCAAAAACAAACTGGTCGCAGAACGACAATTGATATTCGGAGAAGTGATGTGGCAAAGCAGATGGGGTAATTGATCGAGGGAATGGAGGTATTGTGGAGAATTACGTGGAACTTGTTGCACCTCGCTGCGGGGACCCATGGGGCTTACTAAGTTGTACTCTGAGGTGCTATGACATGCAAACTACAACAAGAAGGGTCTGCTCGCGCTCGTACTCAGGCTGGCGGCAGAGGTAACGGGTTCTGGCGGCGCTGCGTGGGATTCAGCATGTCTGCGCGAAGTTCGACTGGGGTGAGACGCAGGAAGGCGTCGTCGTTGCGTCGCGCCGCCCACTGGGTTCTGATGGGTTCGTCTTCGTCCAAAGCAGCAAGCTGCTTGAACACGTCCGGCTCGTGCTCCAAGTCGCGCCAGATCCAAGGGCAGCCACCCAGATACCAGGTTCCCACCAAATTGTCGGCACGAATCCTTCTGTGGCTTCCAAGAGTGCCACTTGTTCGTCCAGGTCTTTGCGAAACTGGGAGCGACGCACTTTGCGGTCGGTATGAAGGCCTCGGGATTGGGGTTCGGATTCGTCAATTGTGACCCAATGTCCGCCTTCCCAGTAGAGCCGAGCGGCTTTGCGCATCCACCCGATGAAGCGAGCAATCCCGTGAAGGAAATCCAGTTGGAGCTGTTGGCGCAAGTGAAAGTAGAAGACCTTGACGCGCTTGTCATGGCAGCCCAGGGTTCAGCTTGGAGTAGCTTCTCGTATTTGGCTCGGTCCCAACGTGTTTTGATCTCGTCCATATGAGTCTTGACTGGCACGAAGCTGGGAAATCCCAGATTCTGAGGGACCTGGTTGGTCAGCGGCTGCTTCTGGACCAGAATCCCGAAGTAACGCCAGCTTTTGTCGGTGGGGTCCGGAATCTCGATGATGTCCTTCTCTTGGGGCGTCATGTCTTTCAGCGCCTTCTTGTACAGCCGGTACTTCGAGGCTGGGACTTTGACAACCACCAGGTCTTGCGTTGACACTGAGCTGGGCCGCGCCTTAGCCGGAGGCTTGGACCTTTTGGAGGACCCACCACTTTGGCCTGAATCCTTGCGTTTCCGGGCCGAGTAGTCTTCATCCCCCGTGTCACCATGCGAGGAGAGAGATGAGAAGTCCGACTGGAAGGTGTTGCTGCCATCATCCCTGTCTGAGTTGCCTGGAAGTGGAGACAGGGACTCGGAAGGAGACAAGCTCTCGGACGGCAAGTCAGGCCAGAATGGAGGCGCACTCGTACGCCGGGAGAGGTTCTGCACAGCTTGGTCCAAGAAGCACTCTGGGACATTGCGAACCCACGGCGTGGAATCCATCCGGTTCCAGTACGCCATTGATTCCAGCATCGGCATTAGCTCCTTTTGCCGGAACTGCGTATGCAACGCAGTGTTCATCCGCGCAAACGCCAGCGAGTCCAAGTACGACGTCCCGAAGAGCGTGAGCTCCTTGACGTCGGCGCGCACTTCACTCCATGTCACTGTCGACGGCAGAGAGGCGGTAGCTCGTTCTACACTTACGACATACTTGGCGTTGCGTGAACGTGCACCTCTGGAACTTCCCGAGTAGTCGCTAGGCCGAGCTTGAGGCTGAGACAGAGGCTGCATTGTTGCAGGCTCGGGTGTGTCAAGTCCACCACCGAGTGTGAGCTCTCGCTAGACTCCTCTGCGGACCCAGACCGGGCTTTGGCAGCTGGCTTCGGATTACGTGCAGGCTTGGACGGCGATTTGGATTTGGCGCTGGGCGTGGGCGTCTTCTTCTCAGGAATGGGAGGTTGCCCAACTGTGACTACGCGGTGGCAGCCTCTAGACAAGTCCAATTAACGGGCTGAGTCTCGATGAGGAGAGGTCACGCGTTGAAGCTCCTCAGAAGTGACTTGGAACAGCACCGAGGTTGGTGCTGGAGCCTTGGTCTCGGATTCAGCCTCCTCCAGCGCCTCACAATCTCCACGGCTTTGCTTTTCCACTGCATTATCGGACTGCGCGGCCCGTTCCGTGGCTGATGGATACGGAGGCGCGTTGAAGTCGAACGCCCGCAAGTCCTCTACGTTCACACGCGTCACCCAATCTGGAGGCGGGGCTGTGCCCGTCTGGTAATGCTCATGCAAAGCAAGCAAGCAAGCGTAGCCAATTGCCCCGCAGGCGGCCGTGCTCACGCACGAAGTCCATTAAGGACCAAGGGTCTGAAAGCCGGGAATTCCGTAGTCGAGTCTCAAGCAAGCCACTTGCTGCCTCGGCTTGGTGTGCTATTTCTTCGCTTGCGCGAAGGCGCGTCGTCAGCTCCTCGATGCGCCGATCTCGTTCTTGGACTTCAAACGCATGATGACGCTTGCTCTCGTCAACGAAGCGTTCGTGAGCTGCAATGCCGCGCCGACGTTCAACTTTGACGCGCTCGGACCAAAATGCCCGCTGGTTCTGGAGCTCGTGGCTCAGGCGACGACACTCCGTCAACCATGCTGCCGTGTCCGCGACTTGCGGATCTTGGACGAGTTGCTCCAGGGCCCGAATGTGCGCAAGAAGCAAGTGAAGGTAACGCGGCGAGGCCAGTGTGTGACCCGCGAAATGTTCCACACCGAAGTAACGAAGTGCGGGAAGCGCCTCGCGCAGAACCTGCGCGCCTGAAGCTGCCAGAGAGGCTGCTTGTGGCAGCGGCATGGTCAGAACAGGCTGCAATGTGTTGGCGCGCACGTCCTCGCGTATGATTCGCGCCAGATCGGCGAAGTCTCGATCCGACAAACACCCGCCTTCGACGCCATCTCGGACGGGTGCGTCAGCAGCGATGTCCGCCAGTGTAGCTGGCACCCCCACCAACGCGGGCCGCGACACAGGAACTCCGTGCTCACTGAAGACGTAGCGCGGTGTGACGAGACGCACGCGCGGGGGCACGGAAGACGAGCGTGCAAACGATGTTGCCGCGGACTGGAGTCTGCGCGCAGAAGCTGCTGTTGACTGTGAGACTCGGCATCCCCCGTCACCACTACGACCACGGACGCTAGAGCTCGAAGCTGGCGTCGGGTCTGCCGGCTGCTGCGACCCTTACTGGCTGCTCGGGATGCTGGCGCTGGCCGTCGATGCTCTCGCGAGGGCAGCGCTCAACACTACGCCCACGTGTGAGGCCCCCGTATCCGCGAGGAGTTGACCTTCGCTTACAGCAGCTCGCGCCGGTACCGCTACGCCCTCGTGTGAGGCCCTCCCGTCCGTGAGGAGTTGGCCATCGCCGGACGCCTCGGACATCGGCTCGGCGGCAGGTGGGACTCGTTGCTCAGGCTGCCCGTGTTCGTCGCTTCGAGAGGCGCCTTGGTCTTGTTGGCCGTCGTCGCCGCTGCTTCCTGTGGCTTGCCCCGGGTTAGCTGGTGGCGCACGCGCGGCCTTGGACGGTTCAGCGGCAGCGGGCGGCGATGCCATGCGGGTTCCGCGCTGCTCTTGAAGATGCTGGATGCTTGGTCTTTCGAGAATGATCTCGAACGACGCTCTTCCCGGATCTCGTGCGACACGCGTGGCGACAAGGTCGCCCAGATTTGGGTCTGCGTTTTGGGCAATTCGACCCATCTCGGCATTGAAGTTGCATCTGTGGGTCAAATTGGCCATTGGGGCGGTTGTTACGCGGTTCCGTCACTAAAATTTGGGTCATGGGACCAAAACCCGGGAATTGCCCATATTGTGGAGTTCGCGGATTGGTGGAAATGTGTTGGTCAAGAATGATGACCACGGTACCAGATAAGTGGTACATTCTTGGAACCCGACAATCGTGCCTGGGATTCTGAGAGTTCGTGCTGGACTTGGAGCCGAATAAAAACAAGAGTATGTTTGTGGCGGACGTGAGACCCCGGAAAGCAGGTCGGCGTAGGCGAATGGATCACGTTCCTAGAAGTGCACAGGAATGTGTGCGATCTTCCCTACGAATCTGCGCGAGGCGGGACTCGACTCTGGGTTACGACCTGAGAACTGAGGCACTTCTCAGATTCCCCGTTGCTTTCCCAGAATAACGACTCCCAACGTTCGTGTCCTCAGACTTACTTCCCACAAAAGCCCAAGAACAGCCTCTGTGCGAGGCGTTTCAAGACTCCAAACCCAAGAACACTTGGTTTCACTATGGCATCTTCCAAGATCCGAGGTGTACCCAACAACTCCGAGAAGGTATCCAGTCTGGCGACCCTTCAAGGTCAGACCAACACTCCGCCGAAAGATCGCAGTCTCCGAGGAGTCGCTTAGGAAAGATTTCGTCTGCATGTGACCTTTAACCAAACAGAGTTCGTTTTGCTTCGAAGGGCACAAGTGCTTCTTTCACAGCCTGGAAGGCCGTTCTCCACGACAAAATTCAAAGTACTTTAGGTAAGTGATCCACTGCTTCGGCCTGGAGGTGATCATATCTATTCCATATCTGTATATTTGGCGGATTGCAGACCGTCTTTGTTGTATATTTGCGGTCTATTGGGCCTGTGTCGAACTGAAGAAGTTGGCGACAGGGTAGATCGTTTCCTCTCTCCGAGAGGTGGTGCGCGTCCCCAAGATTGATCAAGTGTCTTGGATTTGGACCAGTTGACTTGTATTTTGGCCTTAGCCTTGGGCCTAGAGAAAGAAGAGAGGGCAAAGAAGTATTTGTGTGATTGTATAACGTGTATAACTCTATTCGGGTTGGATTGTTCCAGCGTTAGCCCGGCGTAGCTGTCTGATTCACGGGGTCGATACTAACCTCCTGGTGAAAAGAACCGCTACCCAAGGGATACACATCGTGTGCCTGACCAACAGCGTGTACTGGACAACACACACCCTGTGCCAGCCGAGACGGATCCAAAGCTGTAGTAGCCTGAGGTCTGTCAAGGAGGGCCTATAACTGTTTTCTGGGAGAAAACCCCGCATCGCCTCGTCACAATCGGTAAGTCTAGCAACTTTTAAGGTAATACTCTGCGCAGCAACATACTTCAGAAGCTTGTCTGTAACCTCGAAGTTACTGTCAGCATAGGACGTAAGATGAGAGGCGTGTACATCTTCTCCATTACTGATGACGAGGTGTCGCACGCGAAACGAGTGCGAGTCGTTGCGGGAGACAACGTACGGGCTACCCATATCACCTGTTATGGAGGCGCTCATCGACACGTGATCGCAGCACGTAGCACGTAATCACCCTGATAAAAAGTGACCAGTTGGCCACCCCTGGTCCTTCTTTTGTTTAGCGGCGCGATCTTCCCATGCTTGTAAATAATAGCTCGATGTATACCGTCAATACTTGGTCGTTAGTGGTTGCTCGACGCGCTGATTTTGACGCTTCATGTGGTTCCTGGCCAAGTAAGTGAAGTTGATACGTTGACGACGGGCAGGGTAAACCAACCAAACTTGAATCGGGGCTCTATTGGCAATAAAGGCCACCGGTGCGTAGTTCATGTTGGTGTTAACCAATGGTACCAAGTACATCCAATCTTCGTACGAGATAAGACACCCCGATAATAGTGCGCACTTTCAGCATCTGTCGGTTTGGACGATCCATCGAGCCGTCCACTAACGGTCCAGTCAAAGCTATCAGTCACTTTATCCGGAACATTCTCGTGACACGAATCATAGAACTTAAGAGCGCGTAGCTCGTAGGGCTTAAGTCGCTTCTTCTTGCCAGCCCCCTTCTTGCGAAATGCGTCTCCAAGAGCTTCCACAACAGAAGGATTGTCAAGCAAATACCAGAGCGCCTTCATCCAGCCCATCAACCTCCCCTTCGCTACATCAAGCCGCTTTGCAGCCACCTTCACGGTCCATTTAGAGTTATCTCTCGACTCCTTGAGCTTGCTGGCCTTCGTGGCAGTAGGCACTTGCTTAAGGCCCCGTCTCTCCTTCCCCATTGTGCGCGAGGATGGTGTCTTTTTCTAATGAGGGGAGTCAAAGTGAACGGTGTAGATTTCGTGTTTTTTTACAATCGGTTGACCAAAATATTAAGCCAGTGAGCCTATAAAGTACGATTGTTGACTTTATCTGCAAGTAGATCGACTTAATCTGCACGAAGGTCGACTTAATCTACCCGAAGGCCGACTTAATCTGCAAGGAGGTCGAGGTATACTGCAAGGAGGTCGAGTTATACTGCAAATAGGGTTTGTTATACTACAATACGACGTGTATACGTATCTGTGCTACAATGAGTGAGGAGCTGTTACTTGCTTTGTGAACTCTGAACGACACTTCATACGATCTTTCCGAATCGATCGAGAGATTCTCCCGTCTATTTGCGCTTTTTCTCCGGCTCCCCAGTGGCTGCCCCTTCAGTTATCTGATGTATTGCCACGAATGCCTGGGTCGCACCGTAAAATACCTTACGATGTGAGAAGAACCGCTTCTCTGTCCGATCTTTTCGCTACTTCTTCTAAATCGTTGCTCAGCCTCACAGACAGAGATTTGACCAGCTGTTCTACGAGTATATTCAGTCCAGACTTCGTCCACTGTCTGCGGCGAGCGATTTAAATGCAAGCCAGATCTTGTTGAACACTCACCGACTGTCTGGGACCCAATGTCCCACGAGCGTCGACAACACCACGTCGCTGGGGAGCATCAACGTCATCTGCTAATGCGATTACGCGTTTCTTGTTCGCGAAAAGAATCCTTGTTCTCTCAGCTGCCGTACTTCACTATCGAGACTATCAATTTTCACGTGAAGTGCCTGGAATCCATCTTTCATTGTTGATGCAAATAACGGAATTACAGCTTCGATACGTGTGTGTTGAGACTGCGTAGTCGATTGCAAAGCTATCGTGCCCTCTGTTTCAAACTTCCCGTTCTCTTCTGTACTAAAAAGCGGGTCTCTCCACAGGCGATGCTCGAGGAACTTTCGACGTAGTAGTACCGAGTCTTTGGAGAAAAACAACTCTTAACATGTGTAGCAACCCTATAAATCTGCCTGCCGCTACCTCTTGGTTTCCCGTTTTCAGAAGGACGTCTTCAGCGGAGTCTAAATCAGGGAAAACCACTTTCTGGAGATCTGGTGATGGTGTGATTGTGGCCCGATTGATCCAACAGCAGCCCTCTTTTGTAGGGAAACCAGCCAAAGCACGCATACCTTTTCGAGGAAGTGTAGCCAGGTGGCATGCCTCTATTCGTTCTCAATTCTATCTACCAGCCCGTCTAATCTGGGTTTGATCCGCACCTTGTAGTTCAGCCAACTTAGCGCCAGAAACGCGGTTGGCGTGTATCCAAACCGATGAATCGATACCACAGGCTATGAGCGCACTCGTCACGCGCTCTAGTTGCGTGTTGTAGGCAATATCACGTGTTGCACATTAACCTTTCAGCAAATGGATGTTACACCAAGGCGTTCAGTTCGTAAAGCTAGTAGAGGGCTCCAACTACACATGCTACCGCCAAAACAGGTACACTGCCACAGCATTTAACGGGCACAACATCACATCTTTGCATCGCATCGCAGCTTCATATTCTACCCGCCCGACTTGATTTGATTTGCCTTTTCTCATAATAACCACGAGAGGGCTGCATACTTGAGGGCCTTCGTCGGTTAACTGTAGTGACAGAATATCCGGAAACTGAATAAATTCTCGCGATTCTCCACGAACTAGAAGAGCGTGTCCAATTAAAAAGTCCACTCGACCTCGTAAAGCAACCCCTGTAGGCTGATTGAGCCAGAATTGGCTTAGCGCTCGCATATCTTTCAGGTTGTAGCCGTCCAACATTGTTCCTAAATCGCGGTCAGCGTATATATCCATGTTCACTTCAGCATGTCCATTAAGCCTTTTAGGGCTTTGCCACGCGTGTGGGAGTGCTGATGCATACCAATAGACTTTTGAAACGGATGTAAATCGATTATAGCCTTGCCATAAGCGTCCACGGCTTCATACCCTAGCCGAACGGCGCTTCCGTCAGCGTTTTTCATTCGCTGGTTTCCTCGGGGTACCACAAAATTATCGATATAGTCTACTAGCTTCGACTCGTACACCAGTGACCCATCAAAGAAGTTCCTGTCAGTGCACCACCTGCTCAAGTTGTCCTGCTTGTTCTTGTACTGCTTTGTCGAATTGTGTGGTCTTGTGCTAGCGCGTCGGGTCATCACGTTTACCACAGCTTGCTGCAGCTCGTTGGCATTGGCCTCATCAGCCGGTAGGGCTCCCGACATGGGCACAGCGTCCGTGAAGGCGATACCAAAATGCTGTATGGTTGAACGCAGTGCTCGGACATTACAATAAAGTAATGGATGCCCAAAGTCCTACAACAATATTAAATAAATGGTGAAAGCGCATAGCAATAATAAAGAACTGCTCAATAGGTATTTTATTGAGCTAAAGCTGCCATTACCGCAACTAATCATCAGCATCAGCAACTTCAATGCCCATTAGAGTGTGGGCATCCCAGTACTTACGGTTTGCACGCAAAAACTCGATCATCTCAAAGTTGATAGGGAGGAGAGACGAGCGCTGCGGCGTCATCACAAGTTTGCACTGCGAGAAGAGTCTCTCGCAGCGGTTACTGGTCGGTGGAATTGCCCTGACGAGAGGGCTGTAGCGTGGCCCAGCTTCCGCAGGGACATCGTCGGAGCGCAGCAGCGCGGTTGCGAAGTCTTCGGGACCGCTGCGTGCTTGGGTCCGCGTGCGCGCGCGCTGCTGCGTGCTGGCGGCGGGTACGTTCGCCGCAGAGCTGAGCTCAAACGGAGCCACCGCGTCCAGTTCTTCTGGCGTCAGCTCGGCTTCGCACTTCCCAGCAATCTAGTGTAACATACAGCAATATTAGTATTAAGCGCAACATTAGCAAAACACCCGCAACATGATTACCTTTACGACAGCTCTCTCAAACACCGGAGAGTGAATGATGCTGGCATCCGGTGACAGGTACGAACTTGTAATGGGGAACATCTCCGCCATCTTGTCGAAGAGGACGCGCACGGCGCTCATGCTGAGGGTGTCTTCCTGGAGCTTCTTGCATACGCTATTGAACGTCTTGAGTGTCTCCGTCAGCGCGACAATCCGGCGATGCGCAGCTGACTTTGGCACCAGGTCGTACATGGCGTCCACGCGCTTGATCTCATCGCGGATGAGCACGTACCGTTCCAGCATCGTGAACGTCGAGCTCCACCGCGTTGCGTTCGCCCTCAGCGGCGCCAGACCCGTGTGTCGTCTAAGCTCGGCGCGGTTCTTGGGGTGCGCAGCGCCGCCATCAGCTCGCTCACCGCTCCAACCAGGTCGTCGTGCTCGGCAAAAAACTTTTTTGTCGCCAGATTGAAGCGATGGGAAGCACAACCCACCAATGGAACGCCGAGAAGCGTAGCCGTTCGCTGATTGGTGGCGCAGTTGTCGCCACACAGAAACTTCAGCGCCTCCACTGATAGGCCAAAACTACCCAAAATGTTCCGAGTGAAAGCACAGTATGACTCTGCCGTTTGGTCGGCCTCGTCGAGAGGGGCTACAGCCAACACCACGTAGTGCACCTCGCCGTTAAGCCAAAAGACGGCGATAACAGCGACGTAATGCTCTCCAAAGCACGTCCACCCGTGGAACATGACGCCAAAGTCGGGCGGCATCACCGAAGCGATGGCCTTCTCGACAGCCTTGGTCGTGGCAGCGAGGTACTTTCTCAGCGTCTTGGAGGAGATGGGCTTGAGACGCGACATCGAACGCGTGAGCGGGTGGTCCACCTCAGACAGCGGCATGTTGCGGTCAACCACCCACTCCAGCCAGTGGTACACGTTCGCGACTTTGTCGCTCACGAAGCCGTAGGAGTGTAGGTTCCCGGTCATGGAGCTGGCCTGGGCGAGATAATCAGCCTCGTAGCCGGGGTGCTTGTCTTTCAAGTGGCTGACGAGATTGCCGTAGCCACGCGAAACATTCTGGCGGCGTACCGCGCCACAGTACTTGCACTTGAAGTAGAAGTCAGGCATGGAGGAGAAGAAAGCGCGGCAGACGTCGGAGTTCTTGGGCTTGGCTTCAAACGGAGAGGGGAAGGGGGGGCTGGGGAGGATGTCTTCAGTTGTTGAATGAGCAGAATAAAGCTGTAGTCGACGGGAGACGCTTCTAGAATCACTGGACAAGATGGGCCCCAGAAAAACACTAGATCTCACTATTACTATTAATAAAAACAAGATGTTTGTGCACAATGCGTTCAAAACATGAAGAACTAACTATGCCATACAAAAAATAAATGACGCTCAGTATCATTAATACAGGGTACTTTAATATAGCAATAATAAATAAATGAGGTAAGAAAATATCATTACTATTTGTTATAATATATTTTTTCCAGGCACTGGTTGAACGAGAAGAGGGGGAGGCCTTTCTACCAGGCGACCGGCTCTCCCGCTAGTATGCGTTTTTGTTAAATATTAATTATTGCAGGACCGACCTGGGGGGAGATACGTTTCAGATTCGTCGCGTTTACGCTCGGGTTTTGGCGATGGGGTCGCCAGACGCGGTCCAGACCTGCTGGTAGATACTATACCGGACGTCTGTACTAGATTTCATATCCGATAAGACGTAAGCAGGAGGCAGACCAGGATGGCCATCACTTTGCATCAGCGCAAAGCATAAGATAAACCTCATGTTCACAATTGGCTCGCCAGAATGGTCGCTGATTTGGATAAACGCCAAAGCGGTCCCAGATTTGGCTAAGGGCCAGGGTGGTCCTTGATTGGCTAATCGTCAAAGTGGTCACTCATTTTGCTTTCAAAGTGGTCACCGATTTGGCTAAGCGGCAAAGTGGACAAGGTCCAAGCTGAGAGATAAGCGGCCATCATATAGCAAAGGCAACTAACTATAAAATAGAAGTCAATGTTCACAAAAACTCAGACTTGTATTAACGTAAATTCCCGAATAATACCCCTTACCCGTATAGTACCCTCTAAAACGTAACCCAATGTGTATCCCAGGGTTACAATGATACTTACATACAAAGATCAAGTATATCTTTATAAATTTATTGTCGAAAGCATGTTTATGTATGAAATACTGTGTAATATCCATAATTTAGCATACTTCTCCGGTCCGCTAAAGAATTAACAGTCCTCTGATCAGACTATATCTTGCGTTCTACTACTCCAAGAGAGCTGTAGCTACCCTTAAATTTAAGCTCTGGATCCGGTGTATCACGTAGTATTTTTGATAAATCCATTTTCCCGCCCTTTAAGGTAGTTATCGGGCCGTTTAAACAATCAGTTTCCACAGGTCTGAGGTTTAAATTCGCTGCGCCATCAAAAATGATCAGATTAGAACTTGGAAATACACATGAGAAAGCGGAAAGAGAGCTTATTCCTGTGATATAATGTCGTAAAAAGTTCAATATTCCAAGGCCAGAAACAGAGCCAATCGTGTTTGAGGTTTTTTGCATACAAATCACTGATGTTAGAGTTTTGTCCAATGAAGTGTGGTACATAGAGGCATAGCTGGGTACTTCGACCAATCATACATCGAGATGGTTTGAGGTTTTTTGTGAAAAAAACCTAACTGTTAATTCTTTTCCGGACCGGAGAAGTATTTCTTTTGAAAATAGGGGGGGGGTACTAATAAATAGTACCCGGGGTATTATTCGGAAATTTCCGTTATTACTTAATAATACTCAAAGTCGCTGTCTTGGTTGTTGCTGCTGCTACTTTCACCGTCGGGCTCAGCGAGTTCCTCCACCAGATTCGGCAGCTCCAAGTCTTCCAAGTAAGATTCTTCATATTAAAGAAGATGAACACCAGCTTCGCGACACTTGCCTCTTTGTGGCGGTTGCGCAATTGCGAGTGGACGAGCTTGTGCACCGAAACGTTGCGTGAACACAGTGGTTGCGATCTTTTGTAGGAGAGGAAAGCCGTGGGTGCCGCACCAAACCTCGCGGGCCCCGATCCATTTGTCCTGTACCAGCTTAATCTGGCACGTAGGTTGTTGTGTGGCAGCTTGAAACTTAATCAACTCGATCATGGTCGCGTCCTCCAAGTCCGAGCCGTTCCACTTGGCGTTGAACTCCTCGGCACTCTCGCGGGTCCCGTGGTCCATGGTGTTTCCCACATATCGGGGGCCTTAAGATACGACACACCGTGAGCGTCACGGCAGACGAAGTTGAAGCGTTCCCGAAGAAAGGCCGTGATAACTCCGAACTCCGAGATGGACTTCAGTATCTCCTTGAGCGTTTGCGGTAAGTCGAGGAACATCTTGTAAACGTCGGAGATGGGGCGAGTGTTTCTCTCGAACACCTTCTGGAAACGGGAAAGAACACCGAGGAGATTGGTCCCTTTGAGCAGTTGCGCTACAAAGTCCTTCGCTCGTACGACGTCGAATCCCATTATTCTCTTCGCCTTCTGCTCCTTCGTCATCGCCTTAAGGAAGTCCCGGTCACTCACAAAGGCGTGCAGAATCAACTCAGACTCCAACACCGAGACGAAACACTTCTCGAGATTGTCCCCCAACGCGTATCCGCAGGCAGCTTTTGCCTTTAAGCTGCTGTAGGCGGGGTAGCTCCGTGCATAGCAGCTCGTTCTTCTTGAAGAACCGGACGAGCTTGCGACAGTCTTCCTGGAGCGTCTTGAGCCGTGGCAATCTCGCGACAAGATCCTTGACGATCAAGTGGATGATATGTGAAATACAGCCGTGGAAGAACATGTGTGGGTAGTCCTTCTGCAATAATATGCCAAAACCAGCTGGTTCGTGGCCGTGTTGTCCGTAACGACAGCCGCAACGGCTGCATACATCGTAGCTTCAACGAATCGCTTGATGTCAGCTGCGAGAACGCTGGCGCTGTTGCGAGATCGAACCCGTGTATACGGTCTCCAGAAGGTAGGCTCCCTCCCCACATACCAATATGTAGTTGATGACGCTCTTTCCGTTGATGTCGGTTCACGCATCGGTTGCCAGCGTACACTTCTTGCCCTGGACATGGCGGACGATCACCAACTTTAACTCCCCATACAAACCATCCAGGAGTGTTGTCGCAAGCTCTCGGACTGTTTTAAGGACGGCACCCAGATTCAGGATCATCAACGCCTGAGTTAACGTTTCGTGGTTGGCTTGTTGAAGGCCATCCCGGTGGAGTAGAACCACAACGCGAATTGACGTTGTAGCGACATTAGCTTCGAAGGGACGAGGGCCAGCTGGAAACATTCGGTGATGGGCCTTGTCACAGGAGGCTTGGCACACTTTCTCTTGAAGCGATCGCAAACAGGCTCGACATGCGTCGCTTCCAGCGGGTGGATGATCTTCCCGCATTTTTTGAAGAACATGACATCGACGGCGACAGCGGCATCATCCCAGACGGGATCCTCGCGCCTTCCACGTTTAGCAGGACTCGGGGTTGCCTGAGGCAGCGACGTAAGCCGCCGCCGCCCCCAATCTGACGGTGCAGATGCGGCGGAAGAGATGCCAGTGCCGTCGGCGCCATCGGGATCTTGAGGCAGCAGGGATGCGGTCGGGCCATCTTGAGGGAGAGAACCACTTGGTGGGGAGGGGTAGGAAACCAGGTCGATCTGCGAAGCGAAGCTCATGACGAACGGAGGAAGGGTGGGGTGGGGGGGGGGCGAGGTCGCGGGAGAGGTGCTTGTAAGTGTTCAAATTGAAAACTGAGTGGTCGGACACCATACTAAGTTTGATATGCTAACAGCGTGGCTTTAGTCCCGGCAAAGCATGTGAGAGAAAGATGCGGGCTCAACGGAACCGCAGTTTAGACTCTTAGCATTTTAGTATGCTCAGAATCTCTACAACGCTCTTTACTAGCTCGGCTGCATACCGTTCTCGGCTGTGGCGGGACATTAGAGTGATGACGTCATAAGAGCCTCAAAACCCCATCACCCAAACCCACCCATCCACATATGTTGCCAAACCCACCCCCTCAGATCTGAGGACCAAGATTTTGCCGAGCCCTGATTAACGTGTTAAAATGTGTTAACAAAGGGTTCGTAATATAGCTGAAGGTTTACTAACCACCCGGGTAGGTTGGGGATGTTAGTGATTTTGCGCAAGGGAGTTTCAGGCTATAGCTCGCAAACTAAAGAATGGATCGTCTCCAGATAGCCTACGTCTTCGATTTAGATGAAGGTTCCACGTTAGTGCTACTTGTGCAATCTTAAACTTATTGGCGCAGGATTCGGTTCAGGAGGGACCTACCGGGAAACCGTCAGCAGAGTCTCGAACCTCTTGTTAACATGAACAGTTCATGATTCAACGTGATTGGTCGAAAATATGTCATCAAGTGGCTACCTAACCTGATAAATTGGCTAAAATAATAATCGATCAAGTTGTTGAATCCTCCGATGATAATCATTTGCGGGAGGGAAAACTGTAGTATACCGTACAGAATGTATACCATTTCAGCGTGAAATTTGTGAAAATGCTGATATATGGATATCACACGACATTTATTGTGATCACCACGCATTTTGCCTATTTCCAATGCTAAATCGACCGAGATTAGGAGATTTATGCTCTATATACCCCGAATAATTATATGTATACCTCCTTACTCCTTATTACCCCGAGCAGGTTAGGTTCTCACATCAACCAGCTGGGGGTATTTAGCTGCGCCACACGCATGCAGGGTGGGCTAAAGCTGGTGATTGGTTGTTTAGTCGAGCGCTTGGCGATATATAAACAAATCGAACAAAATGCCCACACTACCGTGTGCGTTCCAAGGGATTTATATATATATATATATCGACCACGATTTGGTGAGCTCAAATCCCTTGAGAACGGGTAATATCCGGGCGGCCAAAATGCGTGGTGAGCACAATACTTATTATACCATAATAACTGTACATAAAACTACTTGCATAAATTTTGAAATTGCCGTACTTCACAGAAAACAAGATCAGCAGTTAGATTACCATTTTAAGACCTTGGGTAATTCTTTTAAAATTGAAGCGTAGTTTTAGCCAATCCAACCGCCTATTACTGCCCACTTCTAACAAAAAGAAGATTGATATTTTGACAAAACATTACGAATAACATCGAATTTTAAATATTTGAAGGTTAGATCAATGCAACTGAATACATAGTATATTCTACCAAATAGAGTATCTTGTAGTATTTAAAGGTATTTCAATAGTATACATGTACTGTATACTATTTGGAATTACCCGTTAGCCGACCTTTGACACGTGAACATGCTGTATTAAAGGTGTACTGATACCCAAATTAACCATAATTATTGCCTCGTTTCATTGGATTGGCTTAAACCCAGAGCAGCGTGGTGGTGTGAATACTTATTTGGGGCTATTCTTGCCCGCATGTGCCCAACAATGCGCAGCTATTGTAGTAGAACTACTGTGGTTTACTGCAACGGCTTACATGTGTACGCACGTGTAGGAGGAAGCCTAACTTAATTTGGCTAAGAGAATGCTGTTCTCAGCCAATAGAAATTCAAAGTGTACGCACTATCCGTTGTGGTGGTCGTAAATATATGTAGTCGTTGATGTTTCGTACACCAAGCTCGAGGAAGTATCCAAGCCTCTACCAGATATCGTAACTGTTAGACGTACAAGTAGTTGTAGCCACTTGTGGGTGCAACCCTGTTACAGCTATAACTTTTCCCACATGATTGCCTCTTGTGCCGAGATCAGGGTAAGGTCCTACATACAACTTACAAGATGTTGGCATACCAGATCTTCGACTTGCGAAAATAGTAAGACGTTGGCGCTTAGCCGGCGCTGCTTCGCCTGATCGTGGAAGGTGATCTGGTGCGTTGGGGGGTGAGCGGAGTTTCCGGCGAGCAAGTAAGCCATGGACGCCTCGTGGTTGGTCTGGTCAGCTCGCAGCAGCAACAACGGGTCGTCGTCAGTGCACTTGAAGCCGCTGCGTTTCATGTTGATAAGCGTCCGGCTCACACCGCTCAAGACGTGAAATAGACATCTTACAGGGCGTGCTCCTTCCGGCGCGGACAGCCTCATTGAGAACGACTCACAGGTGCTGATGCTAGTATCTGTCTCCCTGAGTCTTTCGTGCCCTCTCTTGTTCGTGGAGGCGACTGTGTGGGCTTTAGTATAGTCACCTTGTAGTTTGTATTGGGGCAAGTTTATATCTGCCAGTGATATAACCTACTCGTTTGTAGCATACCGTTCCCAACTGGTGAACAACTCTTCACCTGGATAGTAATATCTTGAAGCACTTCCTCTGTGCAAGGTGCTGTGTGACCCCGTCACACTTGATAGCACTTGTAATCAATCTTACGCCCTCGGGTAGATTGGTCTACCTAAATCCTCGGTGGCTCACGTGAGCTACGATGGACTTTAAAAACGATGGCTGGCTTGCAGGGGCACCATGTAACGAATACACTTGATTGCACCCCGTTATAGTACTCGACGATTCAGATATCTTAATGTTTGTATGTTCAGCTAATATATTTTTGGTGCGGTTTTGTTTTGGTCATGTTTACTTGACAACTAATCTATATTTACGATTCTAAGCTAATATTCTTTAATTTTTTTATTTGGTTTGCTTAAACACGGTTGGGAAAATTGACGGGAAAACATAAATATTTTAGCGCGATAAAATTTTGAGTTTTTATGAATTTTATTTCTGTAGCCATGTCGAACTTGATATGACGTTTCTATTGAGTGTTGAGTATCAAATCGGTTTAAATAGGTAAACGGACGTGTTTTGAAAAATAGAAATTGATATTATTTGCCAACATTGGGAATTCTCTGAAAGCATCTCTACCGGTCAACAATTTGTTTGGCAATTTTGTTAAAATGAAAATACCAGAAAAAGTTCAATGAGTTCAACACCGTGTCAACAAATTCTTACCAACTTGAAAAAAACTCTGACATAATTGCTGGAGTTTTTGATGGAGTCAAAGCGCCAAAGGAGATCATTTGAGACGGTTTCAAACGAAATGATGTTTAGGCACCATTTAGAGTTCTCGAGATAATCAATCATTTTTCGGAAATAACCGGACACCAACATTTCGAAAGTTAAAAGCACACGTAAAAAGCGTAAAAACACTCTTATTCGATTGCTTTTAGCGCGAGCTTTCCGATAATATACGATACGTTAAAATTGAAAAAATATTG